CTGCTCGCCGACGTGGGACACTTGTACTCGATGCGGGAGCTCGGGGCGAGCATCTACTGGGATGTCGCCGGGTGGAATGTGAGCGATCTGGGTAATGTGCCGTGGGTCTATGTCGGCATGACCATGAGGCTTTGCTTTCTGGCTGGTTTTGGTCTGGGCGAGTCGCGGGCTCTAAAGAAGAAGGACTGGAAGAGTTGAAAGACAGTGGATGACTGTGAGACGTGGTGATTTGGTTCTCGCGGGGTTGGACAAGATATACCCGATATCCGATCCGATACACGATGGGATGACAAAGTTGGACAATCAAGAGACAAGTGCATGTTTGGGATACAAACATCAGGCAATTGAAGGAAGAATATAGATAATTGTTCGCAGAAAAGGATGCCCCCATTCAGGACCAAGGGAACAATTGAAAACAACATCACCAACACATTCTGAACTTACCCTTCATCTCATGCCACTCTTTTCCCCACGCATCACCTCCTTGGTGGAGGAATCGGCATCCGTCGGATCAACATTCCCACGATAATCCGAGGTGACTGTGGGGAGGAGACCCGACTCATGATGGATCCCTCATGACGCCCGTCACCCTATCGCGTGCCGTTGCGACGGCCGAGTTGGAGCTCTGTCTCTTGCGGGATTGGGGAAGAGAGGGCACCATGATGCGAAACCCCCAAACTTGAAGGTGAGTGATTGAAACGAGTCCAATGAGGCCCGTTTTCACCCATAGCCCGCCTTGACCTCCCCCAATGGCCCATGACATGGTGCATCCGATGGCACGTCGCTCTCTGCTGTCGCTCTCGCGTTGGATGAGGGGCAACCCATCGATTGCCCCTCACCAACCCGACCGACATGGCAGTAAAAGGCGACGAGGAGTGGGAATGGATGACCTGAGTGGGGGTTTGTGAGGAGCAGGACAAAAGCTTTATAAGGAATACCCCAGCTGTTGCCATTGAGCTCTTGTTGTTCTTCCTTCTTGCTCTCGTCTTTTGCTGCATCGTCATCTGTTGAGTCCCATTCTTGACCGTGTCTTTGTGATACCCCCACAACACCACCACCCCATCACCATGTCTTTCCCCGAAAAGTTCCAGGGCTTCCAGTCCCCCAGCGCCGAGCGATGGACCGACTTTGAAAAGAACACTTTCCAGCCCCGTCCCTTTGGTGACTACGACGTCGACATCAAGGTCGAGTGCTGCGGCGTCTGCGCCAGCGACCGTCACACCATCAGCGGAGACTGGGGTGACTGCCCCTACCCTCTGGCCGTCGGTCACGAGGTTGTCGGCAAGGTTGTCCGCGTCGGCGACAAGGTGACTCTGGCCAAGGTTGGCGAGCGCGTCGGTGCTGGTGCTCAGGTTTATTCGTGCCTCGAGTGCCGTCAGTGCAAGAATGACAATGAGACCTACTGCAAGGACCAGATTGACGCCTATGGTGCTCCGTACCTTGACACTGGTGTCAACACTCAGGGTGGTTACTCTTCCCACACCCGCATCAACGAGTACTGGTGAGTTGATCCCATTCCTGCTCATTTGTGTTAGCATTGGTGTTCATAGACTGACCTGACACTCACAGGGTGTACCCTATCCCCGAAGCCCTCTCCAGCTCTCAGGCCGCTCCTATGCTCTGCGCCGGTATCACCGTATACAGCCCTTTGAAGCGCCTCGGTGCTGGCCCCGGAAAGAAGGTCGGTATCGTCGGTATTGGTGGTCTTGGCCACTATGGTCTTCTCTTCGCCAAGGCCCTCGGTGCTGAGGTCTGGGCCATCTCCCGTACGCGAGCAAAGGAGGAGGATGCCCGCAAGATGGGTGTCGACGGTTTCCTGGCCACCGCCGAGGAGAACTGGACCAAGGGCCATGAGATGACCTTTGACATCATCATCAACACCGCCACCTCTTTCGAGGGCTTCGCTCTCAGCCAGTACCTCAGCCTTCTTGATATCCACGGCCACTGGAACTCTGTTGGTCTTCCCGGCGGTGACGGCCTGACCGTTCGCAACCAGGACTTCCTCTCCAACGGTTGCTACATCGGCTCTTCGCACCTGGGCAGCCGACGTGAGATGCTCGAGATGCTGAAGCTAGCAGCCGACAACGGCATCAAGTCGTGGGTCGAGGAGATCCCCATCTCGACCGAGGGTCTTCAGCTCGCCATGGAGAACCTCCGAACGAGCAAGGTGCGATACCGATCGTGCATGGTCAACTACGACGAGGCATTTGGCGCATAAATAGAGAAGCAATAAAAATTGGATGAAGGAGGGAAAGAGTTGGGATGGGAATGGTTAATGGTGGAGACCCCAAGTCGACCTCGGCGCGGGGATGGAGACACCTTGATAGGTTCACGAGGATGACGACTTTGTGTTTAGAATTGCACGAGTTGCCCTCTGTTACATGACGAATTGAATGACAAATTGAACATGCTTTGACGTTATAACAATTGATTTCCAATCTTGCTGAGAGATGCCTCTATAGCGTGGTGGGTTAGTCCATTGATGGTGTTTTCCCCGATGAGCAATCTTGGTCTGCAAAAGAGGCAATTCGTGCTTGGAGACAGCGAACTCGCAGGCACTAACAGGGTGTTTCATATCATGACCGGGTCATCTCTTTCACCGCACAGTTGGGCTCATTGCCGCACATTGATCCTACTCGCCAATCAGCCACGCAACCCTCGCCAATCGCCACGTAACATGAGATTGAGAGGGAGCAGGAAAAACCTGGTGAATGCGCATTTATCAACGCCAAGAACTATTCATGGTCTCGTGCTGACATATCCGTATTCTTCGACCCATCCCATACCCCAGCTTCCCCCGAACCGGAACCCCCCATGTCATCTGCCACTATCCCCAATTCTGACTCGCCGAAGCCTGCAGCAAGCAAAACGGCGGGTGACTCACGTTGCAGGCCTCTACAGGCGTGAATTGGAGTCTCAGCCAACATCTCGTAGCCCAGCTTTGGTGGCATCCTGTTCTTTGTTATCCTCTTTTGGGATTCGCCGACAGAACAAGTGCGCGGTTGGTAATCCACGCGAGAGTGGGTTTGTTATGTGACTCGACTTACAGGGACGTGATTCACGGTTTCGTGATTGTTTAAGATGAGGCTTCTGCTGGTTTTTTGAGGCATTGTACAAACAACCTCAAACACCAAGAACAAAGAAACTACCTTGCACTCAATTGGCTCTCATCAACAAGACAATTATCTACTTTCCACTTTCATCCAAGCTCATGAAGTTCCATCTAAGATCCACTAATAGATCTTCAAACACCAACAACATGTAAGTCAATGCCAGTCCCGGGTAGGACAAGCACCCACTAACAGTACCACAGGGGACAATCAACTCCAGTATCGCCGACTACCCCGGTCGATAGCGGCGACCCGGGCAGCTCAACATCCGGGCAGCTAAACCTCTCCCTCCGCTTTCGCCGTATCTGCAGCAAGGGCGAGATCACCTCTGTTGGCCTCTCGCCCTGCAGCTCAGCCGCTTTTGCCATCTACATGGCTGCTCAGACCTCTCAGTCTTGGATTGATGTGTTTGACCTCACAACTCAGCGGGGCCTATCACAGACCAGCGGCTCCCACGCCGTCTTTGCACCGAACACTGCCCGCTTGGCGACGATCCGGGATTGGATCGTTCAGCTTCCCGGAGGAGTGGACTTTCACCACGCTAGCACCGTTCTCCTACGGGACTTTACGAATGGAAAGACTTCTGTGGAACTCAAGGAAGCCAAGGGCGAGCCGGTTGCTTGGAGCCACGACGGGAGAGTCATTGCTGTTGGTGAAGAGAGAAATCGCATTGGTGTCTGGGATGTGAAGAACGGGCACCGAGTCGGAAGAGTCCTGAGCCACATTGACGCTGTTACGCACGCTGCTTTTATGCCCGATCACAGCTTGGTAACCATCTCTCGTGATGGAACTCTTCGAATCACCAACCCGGTCACATGCAAGACCACCCGCCGTCTCGAGATTGACGGCTCAACCAACCCGCGAGCTCTAGCCGTCAGCCCCGACGGTCGCCGAATTGTCTCAGTCTGGGGAACGAGCGTGCACATCTGGATGCCCCTAGCCAACGACCTAACCTCGTACAACCTCAACTCTGTGCGCTGCTCCGAAGGCTGGCCGCTGGCTATCTCATCCGACTGTCGCTACATGCTCTGCAGAACCGAAGCCGGCTTCGATATCATGGACGTTGCAACGGGAACCGTTGAATTTGAGAGGACTACGGAGGAATTGGTAATGTCGGGTGCTTTTTCGGAGGACGGGACGGAATTGGTTCTTGGTAGGATGGATGGCGTTGTTGAGGTTTGGGATATTTTTGGGCCGAGGAGTTGAAAAGTTACAAGATACCCCAGGACGTGCTTGATTTTTCTGATTTTGAGGGAGTAAAGTTGTTATTTATTGATTTCCTTATTAGTGGAGGATTTCTTTTTGTATTATGCGGATGTAAATATTGCAGTATGTGTCTTTATTTGACTACTTTATCATATCCTCTTCGTCTAACTGCTTCATCGGTCAACCGACAACCAACAAGTTCTTCCTGGATTCGTTTTTGGGGTGATTCATCACGATGGATGAATACCGATTAGAAGCTAACCACCCGACTCCAATGATTGATTGTAGGCCAGTACTCTTTTGGGATTGTTGGTTTGTGCAGCTCTCTCCCCTGAAAGAGATTGGGGGTGTTGGGCACGGAAGCCAAGAACACAACATCAGCTTTTCTAGAAGATTGCCCAAGGAGGGAACCGAGAAAGTTCATTAATGAAAGCAGCCAATTAGATCAAATTGTGTGATTATCGTAAAGTTCTTTCTTGACAACTGAAGCTTTGTGCAGGTTAGTGTTCATTGCAAGTTCGCATGGCAACTACCAGTATATAGTTTCCAGTAGAGTACTGAAATAAAACATCTTTGGACATTGCAGCGCATACTCCCTACTGAAGATCTCTAGTGTGGTATTGTTCACGCTCGTTTCTCTCTCCACGATACCCTTTAATCATACCAGACGCCCACATCGCCACCATGAGTTTCACAGAGTGCAGTACCGAGATCCTCCTACAGATCTGTGAAGAGTTTTGCCAGCACTGCCAAGAAAAGCACCTGAAAATTCCCAGACCAGACTGGTTCCAAAGGGACTCCTCTCGTCAAGCTCTCCTCAATCTATCGTCGACAGGAGGGTAGGAGCCATCGCTCAACGGGTACTTCACCATCATTTTGGGTACGTCGATAGAGACAGGCAGCGTGATGACATCGTCAAGTTCTGCCGTACCATCTCCAATAACCCAGAGCTTGGTAAATGTCTCCGATGGGCCAATCTCTCAGTATTTGGGGCAAAGATACACAGGGAAGTGATCCAAGCTTGGCTACCGGATGCTTTAGAAAAGGTCGGGCACCATTTGGCTCTCGATGTACCATTCGGGCTCGAGCACTATCCCAATCGCGCCATTTCGCCGCTTGTTCTGCTTAAAGCTCCAAATATTGAGCGAGTCGACGATGACGGCAAGAATCAGGGGTCATTCTTTCACATGCTTGCCTGGCACACCGGGACCGTGGTCCGCGATGGTGCACTCCCGCAGAATCTGAACAGCGTCCAGCTGGGAGGTTGGGTCTCTTCTTTCCAGGAGCATGACGAGTTTTACCTAGATCTTTCCTTTCGGGGCCTTGGGTATCTACTTAGTTCTCTGCAGAAACTTCATACCTTGACTATCTACTGTCCAGGGTTTGAGGCTGGTGACGATCGGGTGTTGTTTCAGCACCTGCGTGTGCTTCGGCTCGGTGAGTTTTTGATGCGTCGAGACGATTTTGAGAGACTAATCTCGTGTACACCACTGCTTGAAGAGTTTGCACACTTTTACTTTGGTGTCTCAGCCGAGGTGAGAGGTGACACAGCAACCATTCCTGAAATTTGCATGATTTTGACACAGAGGAAGAAAACTCTGCGACGGCTTATGCTTGATGCCTCGTGTACAGTTGATGATCTTGACCATCTAAGAAGGCTCGAAAATCTGGAAGAGCTGAAGATCTGGGCAGGGCCTTCGCTCACGCCTCAGCAGGAATCGGATCGTATTGACAGCCAGGCCCTGGTGGATGCGCTGCCGCCATCGCTCCGGAAGCTTCATGTGAAGGTAAAGATTCCAGGTCTGGACATGGCTGGTGAGGCTTTGATGACATACATCTCATCGACCTATAGACGGTCGCGCGACGAGCAGAAGTTGAAGCAAGTATACTTTGACGTCTATGAAGAGCCAGCTCGGCGGTACATTCCTTTTAAGAAAACTCTTGAAAAGAGATGTCGGGAGTGGATCAAACATGGGACTGTTGTGTTTAGCGTGAGGAGATTTGCTTGGTATGACATAGGAGATTGGGGGTCTGGAGAGGGCACCGTTGATGAAGAGGATAACAGGGACTTGTGAGATATGATAATTTACGTTGCATTACATTAATTATTGCAGGAAAAAAAAAGACTTCATTTAAAGGCCTGGTAATCATACGACACCTCCCTTGCAGATCTGTTCTTTATTATAGTTGCAGCCCGGCCCTTGATGGGTTAACTGAGCCTGAAGATCGACACCTCCCTTGCTCCAGCCAACTATTTCTCATAGTGTCAAAGGTTCTGTTACAGTGTGTAGAGAAAGCATTACATGAAACTTTAACTTAATCAAAGCCTATTCGAGGGCCTGCAATAACCTAGGATATGAGTCAAGAATAGAAAACCAGCGTTGAAAGAATATTACCCAAACAAAGAGGGCCACCAGCCACGATAGCGAGGACCACAGACCAGTGTCATTTCTTTGATCAAAAGCCGCCAATTAGACTACACAACATCGCCACAACAAGATATGTTCTTTGTTATTTTGGCCGAGTCTTTTATTGAAGGCAGTAGAAAGGACTAAAAAAAGAAGTCTTTGCCTTAGAATTGGGACATGATGCTATGATATGTTGATATTGTTTCCTTTGTCATAGCTGAAGCCGGCCCCTCGAGGGGTTCATTGAGCCAGAAGATGGTGACCGATAACTTCTCTTGGAAGCATCACCATGTTCACACACACGCAAAATCTCTTTGACTCTTCAAGCTTTGTCTAGGATATTTTTAATTGCGAGCTTGGGTGCCTACCAAGAAGTATATCAACTCAGCGGAGGACATGTTTTTGTGCAAATCATGAAACCAAACATCCATCGACACAACAACAACCACATCTATCACATCTTATATCTCGCCCTGCAACGAAAATTATTGCACCGCAAACAGTCCGTTATCGCCAACATGGGTCTTCAAGATCTCTCCCCCGAGATCCTTTTCCAGATTTGTGAACTCTTCTGCGAGCACTGCCGGGGAGAGGAGCACGGGATGGAGCAGCCGCCAGAGTGGTGGGGACTTGCCAACCCTCGCAGCAATCTCCTTGCCCTGTCCCTTGTGTGCAGATCGATCGGGTCTGTTGCCCAACAGGTGCTTCACCACTTTGGGTATATGGAATATCATAGGGAGTCCAAAGCTAAATTCTGCCGTACAATCTCCAATAACCCAGAACTAGCCAAAAGTCTTCGGTGGGTTAACCTGTCGTCATACGGAAGCGACGAGGCGCCACTGGATATTGTACAAGGATGGTTGCCGGAAACTATTGACAAGCTCAGTCACCATCTGCTGGATGGAGGGACTTGGATACCGGACAAGAATCTCCTGAATGCAATCATTCTGCTCCAAGCGCCGAATCTTGAGCGAATTGACGATGACGGAAGTCACCACAAGGCAGCATTTAACTTTCTGGACCATGACGCCGTGATCCGGGATCGCGCCCTCCCACCGAACCTGAAGTATCTACGCCTGGGTTACGCCTTTACCTATCACCTCCGTGGGACAATTATGGACCTTTCCTGGGATATGCTTGGTGGCTTCATTGATTCTTTCAATAAACTTGAATCCCTGCACGTCTACTACCCCCTCGCTTCGGGGATTGACAAGCGGCTATCATTCGACTCCCTCCGTACCCTTCAGCTCGACCAGTCCTTTATGCCACGAAAGGACCTTGAAAGACTCCTCTCATGCATGCCAAAGCTCGAGGAATTCGCCATTACTCGGCTATTCGACGGCAATAGTGATTTCCCTGAACCTGCCACTGGCCCTGAAATCTTGGAGGTATTGGCAGGACGAAATGACACTCTGCGGAGACTCGAGCTCGATATGTCATGCACATATGATCATGTTGAGAACCTAAGAGCTCTAACTAATCTAGAGGAGTTGAAAATCAGGTTGGGGGAATCTAGGCATACCGCCTATAGATATCGCCAGAGGATCGACAAACAGTTCTTTATACGCATCATGCCACCATCACTCCGAAAGCTCCACATCGACTTCTTCGATAAAGAGAAGATGTTTGAAGAAGCTAGCGATGGCCTGATGACGTACATCTTATCAACGTACCGAGAAAACCCCCAGGACCAGAGACTTCGAATGGTGCAGGTGGACATGCAACGCCTACCAAAGCACTGGCAGGTTTGCCAGAGGGATGCTTTTCAACAAGGATGTCATGAGTGGGCAAAGAACGGGACCCTGGCATTTGGCATTGAACTGTTTGATTGGAATGTATACGAAAAGAATGCCAGAAGGGATGAAGAATATGAAATGATGAGACTACTTTTTGACGAACAGCGGGGGAGAGATGAAATATGAGGAGATGGTGACATTTACTAGGTACCTAGGCATGAAGAGGCGGTGTTGAACTGGGCTGATAGACATATATAAAACATTGACTCGATCAAAACTTCTCCAAGAAACAGTGGACAACCTTTTGAAACTTTTCCGGCTCATCGGCTGCTGGATTATGTCCCGAGTGATCAAAGACAACCAATTGGCTGTGAGGAATTCCCCTGCTAATATCCTCTGCCTCTTGAAGAGGACAGACGACATCGTGACTTCCTACAACTACCAAGGTGGGAGTTTGAATCTCTCCAAGTCTGCCTCGAACATCGAAGCGAGGTTGGCTGAACGAAAAGGCCGCGTTGTGGACTTCCCAGTGCAGACGAGACTCGCCACCTGTGCTCTCGAATGAATCAAATGATGGTGGCTCTGATGATGGTTCATCCTTCTCGGGGGTATAAATGGCGATGATCTCGGCGAGACCTTGTTCGGCGTCCTCCTTGTCCCTGACGTTCCCAGACCATAGCCTGGCCTGTCGAGCGGGATCCGGCTTGATACGGTTCGAAGTCAAAAGTGAGGCAAGGACTCGATGGGTTCCTAATGGCCCGCATGCCCATGTATTCTGCAGGATCAAGCCAGAGAGACGGTTGGGAAAGGTCAAGGCGTAGCTCAGCGCGAGAAACCCTCCGTAAGAATATCCAGCCAGGATGAATGTCTCCACTCCCACCCACGCCCTGCATAAATTGTGTCAGTAATATCGGAAGTGATCAGAGAGGAATGAATTACCTGAGCTCATCAACGTCGGCAATCCAACGCTCATCAGTAAAGGGGCCCTTGATGTCGCTAATACCACTGCCCCGAGCATCGTAGACAAGCACACGGAATTTCTCAGCAAGGAACTTGTAGGCAGACTCAGTCGATGTGTGACTGGATAGTCCCGGGGCACCGTGAAGAACAATAACAAGTGGCTTGTTCTTGTTTTCGGAACCGAGAAGCCAAACGTGAAGCTTTGCTCCGTCGCTGAGTTGAATTTGGGTGCTGGTGCTGGACATGATGTGACGTGTTGGGGTGCTGTTTGAGTTGGATGAAAACGTTTGTGTTGACGCTCTGGATGAAGGGGATGTTTGGTCTTATATGAATCTTAGATATTAGGGTTGTATGAGGCAGGATCTGTCATCCGACTCTGACAAGTACCAACGCCTGAGTGAGTAACGTTATCGTTGTTCATCATGAGAATGGCACTTTCGCTCAGCGAAGCGGAGATTCGCGTAATCAGTATTCCAGAGTATTTTTTACTCAAAGGAATTTGAAGGCTGATTTGCCAGAGTCAGGTCATCAAGGAACAAGGAGTACCGTGGTTTCGGAGAGCGTCGCTGAGCGAGGTGGAGATATTTCCAAATCGGGCAATTCTCGCTGAGCGAGAGCGTTGATGGTCCACCTTCTCCATGGCAATCAGTTAGATGATTGAGTGTTATTCCAGGGTGTAGAAGATCAAATAAGAAAGAAAGTAATAAAGTATCTGAAGCCCCATCTTTCAGAGGAAAACATTACCTCGATTTCCCTGTGCATCAGTGCCAATCTTGTTTCGCCTCTAACCTCGCCAGAATGACCGACTCGGAAAAGCAACAAGACAATGTCTTGCCCTGGGATCAAGACCCTGATAACCCCCAAAATTGGAGCAAACTGAAAAAGACTGTCAACCTCGGCATTGTTTCCATGTTAGCTTTTATCACGTAAGTAGACGTTCATCTGCTCGCCTAACAAACACCTCACTGTATGCCAGTCCGCTGGAATCTTCCGTCATTGTTCCCGGTGTCCCACTTTTGAAAGACGATTTCCACGAAACAAGACGGCCCGTGACATCTCTTGTTGTGTCAATCTTTGTTCTAGGATTTGCGTTTGGCCCTCTTCTACTATCACCGCTATCCGAGTTGTATGGCCGACGGTTGCTCTTCAACATCTCCAACCTAGTTACACTGGGCTTCTCCATTGGCAGCGCTCTTGCACCGAATATTGCGTCTTTCATTGTTTTTAGATTCATCGCTGGCAGCTTTGGGGCTGGGCCTATGAACATTGGAGGAGGAAGTATTGCTGACCAGGTTGCCCTCGGAAAAAGGGGCTTTGTCATGTCCATCTTCTTCACTGGCATTTTTCTTGGGCCTGTAATCGGGTAAGTGAATCGTCCGTGAGTCTCAATCTATCATCTAACTTATCTACAAGACCGGTAATGGGAGGCTTCATTGCCAAGAGTCTTGGTTGGAGATGGGTCTTCTGGGTCATGGCCATTGTTGTAAGTCTTCACTCTCCCACCCTCGTTGAGCCACCATCTGACTAGGTCGACATAGAAGGGCCTCATGACGATTGTTACCTTTGTATTCCTTTCCGAAAGTCATGCTCCGACAATCCAAAAGCAAAAGGCGAGACATGCCGCCGAGCAAGTCGTCTCCACCGAAGAGGGCAAGCCCAGCACAAGCGAGGTTCTTCTGAGAGCTGTTTCAAGACCAATGCGCATGCTGATCCGGAGTCCCATCGTCACCGGACTCTCCTTATACCTCGCCCTTGTCTATGGCTACCTTTATCTCCTCTTCACTACCTTCTCGACAGTTTTTCCAGAACAATACGGCTTCGGTATCGATACGTTGGGCTTGGCTTTTCTGGGGCTTGGGATAGGGTGTATGCTTGCACTTATCGTGCTTTCGTGGCTTAGTGACTGGGTACAGGACCGTCTGACCGAAAAGCATGGAGAGTCGAGGCCGGAGTAGGTGTATTCTGATGCTGAGTGCAAAAGGATTGACTAATGGCCATTAGATACCGCCTTCTTCCAATTGTATTGGGCATACCACTGCTCCCGATTGGCTTGTTTGTCTACGGGTGGACTGCTCAGTACAAAGTACACTGGATTGTCCCTATCATCTTCACTGGCTTCACTGGAGCCGGTCTCATCTTCTCGTTTGTGAGCCAACCTACCACTCTGACCAAATCCCCCAACTAATTACGCTGTTCAAGCTTCCCACACAGATATATATGGTGGACGCCTTTACAACTTATGCGGCTAGTGCGTTGGCGGCAACGAGTGTCGTCCGCAGTATTGTGGGCGGCTGTCTTCCCATTGCGGGTCTGCCATTATACTCGACGCTTGGTTACGGATGGGTGAGCCCCGGTTGGATACAAGTCTCAATAATTATCTGACAAGTCTTATAGGGAAACTCGTTGCTTGGCTTCATCGCCATGGTGGTCTCTATTGCCCCTCTTCTTTTCTGGCGATACGGAGAGATGTTGCGGAACAAGTATGATGTCAAATTTGACTGATTGGAGTTGGACATCGTTACTTGACCAAGCATAGGTATCTCACGGATTCTTCTGAGTTAATGGTCTCGACACGAATTAGATTCTTCGATGTGGAGCTGAAATCCTCGCCGTAAAGAACTTGCTTGTTAGATATTTCCCTTCTGCCTGTTCATGATCGGATCAGCTCCGAAGCCCAATCTTCCTTTTCCAATAGTAATTTGATGCAATGAAGTCGTCTCTCGAGGTTCGAGGCAACACCGAGCAACCACGTCAGATTCAACTTGCCAGCATCCCCCAATTCTAATGTGCCCGCAATGTATCTTTCCTCAAATTCCCTAGCACCTTGATGAAACTTTTCCACCAACATTTCCACATCTCGCGTTGCGTTCTGTAGCATCAATCGCTTGAGTGAGAGATCGTCTTGCTTTGATGGATGAAATATCCCTAACCCAACACGGGTAGTGTCGTTTTCGAGATGCACACTAGGAGCTTTCGCAATCTCGCATAGTAGGTTAACTTGTCGTTGGTGAAGCATAGCAAGGTTCATCAGTCGGGGACAACCGGCGTCGCAGTTTGGACAAGAGAGATATTTTGTGGCGAGTTGATATACATCCTGCAGCAACCGCAGGATTTCATCGAGGCTTGTTTGCCCTGGGGAGTTGAAAATGTCGCTTAGAATGTTTGCTTTATCGTGGATCAAGATGTAGCATAAACCCGGGCACCTTTGTCCTTGACTGGGGCTTGAGGAAGAAGGCGGAGGTGGAGTGTCAAGAGAGTCAATCAAGTCTGTGAGGGACGGGGAGTTGCTTGTGAAAACTGTCAGGTTGTTTGGCAGCAAAGATGGATCAACTTGAAACGTATTGCTTTGAAATAGCTATTTTAATTAGTCTTGAGTACATTGAAATGAATGATCCATTCGGGTTCACTCACAGTGTTGTGGTCAATGCCAGACAAGAGAGCCTCAGGGTTCTCAGTTTGACTGTTTTGTGCCACGAAATCCAAAGCTGAATGGAGCCCCACATTCAACGCCCCAGTCGCTACACGTCTTGAAACGTCTGGCGTGTATGATGGTTCGCCGCTTGCTTTGCGTTTACCCCGTCGCTGAGAGATGCTGTAAACGCACGAAGAGGCGTTTGACGAGGATACGCATCGTCGACAAGGGACGCCGCCTGAACATTTGACCCTCGATTTCCGACATGAGTTGCAGGAGGTGTTATACTTGCGAGGATGAACGAGATCCGCAGTGTCGCTCGAAGTCGTGGAGCCGGGAGTAAGGGTAGAGGGCTGATGAGTCTGGGGGTTCCATCGCGTGGTGTACGTGCTTGGTATTCCGGTGGAGGTTGTCATTCTTCGCTAGTAAGCAATCAAGTCTCTGATAAAGGCAACAACAGTTTATGGGTGTTATTACCGAGCAAAGAATGCAGGTAAAGAATAGAAAGGAGTGAGTGAGGATGGATTTGTAAGCGATAGGGTCCATCAACAAGGGTGCGGGTAGGACCATATTTCTTGAGATTAAACAGGCAAGGACAAATGTTAATAAGCACCTTAAATTCCGCGAAATGGAGCCTTGTTATTGCGTTTCTCAGCCCTATTGATTGACCACGTGAAGCAGTATCTTGTTTGTTCAACTCAGGCCACTGAAACGGACCACCTGGAGCGCCTAGCCTCCTAATTTGCAAGGCTCGTATTCTTCAGAACCATTTCAACAACAATCCCTGGCCTAATAATAAGTGAATTTCCTATTGGCTGCTTCGTTTCAGCTTGTCGCATTCTCTCAGGGGTCACAGAATGTGGCGTCGGGGAAAACCTCGGCTAGCCTTTATCACCAACTTCAAAGCCACGTCTTTCCCCGCAAAATTTGACGACCTATCTCCGTCTCACCCCTTTGCCCACGAGCCATTTCTCTCTCATAGCCCAGGTTCAAAATGCCTCGTGCTAAGAAGACTCCCACGACAGAGTTGGTCGTAAAGCCTCCACGAAAGAAGCCAGGACCCAAGCCAAAGCCGCTGTCAGAACGCGTCTACAAGCCGGCCAGGCCAATTCAACGCATCGAGAACAGCTACTCTCAGAGAAGAAAGGAAGAAGTTCTGCTGTATCTTCTCAATCACACAATTTACGACCCCGATAGTTGGAAGTCGGTCAATTGCTATAGAAAGCCTTTCCAAAGAGATGCTGCAAAGCATTTCAAGATACCAGAGGCCACGATACACACTTGGTGGAAGAATAGGACATCAATCCTGAATCGGGAGAAGAAATCGAGGAAGAAGAGGACATCCAAGGGTAAATATCTGGTCTCGTTTAACTGAATGTGGCTGACTCAGTCATTAAGACCAACCCGTCCCTGAAGCGGGAGAAACAGCATCGCTAGAGACGGACAGCACGGGGTCAGAAGCGCCAGAAGCATCAGAAACTCCAGCATCAGAGCCAGCAGATCAAGAGTCGCCAGCTCCACAAACAGCAGACACAGATCCAGCCGCAGGAGACCCAGCAACAGCGGGCGAAGCCGGCCCTGAGTCGAGCGAGGCTCAGAATACATGAGCTCCGGGGTCAATTTGATCTCTTTTATTGAAGCGACCTGGCCCGGCTTCAAGCATGCAATCGGTGAGCATGCCGGATTAGAATAGCTCGCTTGTCAGCAACGCTTTCTATTCACAATACCCCCTATCTTGTCATAGATAGAAGGGGTCACGCCATTCGCTGGATGAACTTTCCGTGGACTTCTTATACTTCCGTTGAGAAAAGGGAATATTCGGATATTCTGATGGCAACAAGAACTAATACTGGTTAATCCGAACTGGCTTGATGTGTCAGGGCTGTTCTTGGCTCTGCCTAGCCTAGAGGGACCTTTCACGATGATCTGGCTGTACTGATACTTTCCTTGTTTTGTCTTGTGGAAGGATATTTTACCCTTTCTATTTTTGAGCGATTTCTTTGGTAACGTCTAGTTTCGGAGTGTGTGGGATCTTTTTTGGAGGATCATGGATGAAAGGATTTGGGCTATCATGTACACAGCTTACACCCAGGTCAAGTTATAGCCAAGGCCGAGCTCCTTTGGCGAGTCTTATGCCCAGAGCAACATGTTGGCTGGCTTTACTTCAGCATTTGGCAGTGCTTGAGTTCATGTGAGACAACGGAGTCAGAGATAAGACGGGATCCTTGAGTTGAACCGGCTGGGCAAGGAATTGAGTTATGTGGCAATGAGATAATATAAGCCAAAATACTACCCAGAGTTGTATTTTTGATCACCTACCTTCTGCCATGAACTGGATTAACCTGTCTATTGGGCGGAACTCAAGCAGCCAAGTCACCTTCGCTGCCGGTTCAAGCGCAGTAATCCTTCAGCCTTCAGCTGGATGACACCGCCAAGAATAAACCCCCCCTTGGCATGTCTTGGCCAAAGATTTTGCCCAAAAAGGAAACGAGTCTGACATCTCCACATAAACAAGGCGTCCTCTCACCAGCATCCCTCAACCCATCCTGCAGCATAAGTACGTCGGACGATCCAAGCTCTCTGCCCCCTCCCGACCTAAACCAGCAAAACGTCTGCAACTGCATGCATCATGAGCGACCCGAAAGCGTGTTGGGAGTGCCACAAGAGACGCCTCATCTGTGACTTTGCAAGTCCGGCTTGTCAAAAGTGCGAGGCTAGGGGCGTTGCTTGTCCTGGGTATGGAGAGAAGAAGCCGTTGAAGTGGCTGCAGCCTGGACAGACGAGGTCTAAGGGGAAGAGGGCCAAGAAGGAGGTTAATGTTATTCGGCTTACGTTGAAGGATCCGAGTGAGGCGACGAGTGTCTTTGAAGCAATCGAGTATTGTGAGTACTACTGAGCCTTGGATCCCTGTAGTACCTGGAATGCACCTCGATCTGATGTACTGATCACCTTGCAGTCAACACCCACATCTGTCCCGATCTAGTGGCCAATGGCGCTGGAGGTGGCTCCAACTGTCCCTTCATCCTACACCCCTCTGAAGCCCCGTACATCCCTACAGCCATCAGACACACCATGGTGTCGATTGCGCTAGCTCATCGTGTGCTGCAGTCGGAGCAAGGGTTTGAGGCCGGCAGGGCTTTGTTCTCCACGAGACTGCAGAAGCATCGTGGTGCAGCTATTCGGCATTTGGCGAGTGACTTGGTGCCGGGATCGCAGCCGGACACCATTACGTTGGTGTCTATCCTTACCTTTCTTTTGGCCGAGGTGAGCCATTCAGTGAATTGAGGGAGCTGATCTAGTGGGCTAACAAGTCTCAGGTCCAGCAGAGCTTCTCGTCTAGCTGGCGCCAGCACTGTGATGCCGCCAACACCGTCGTCGAGCTTCTTGGCGGAATGAGTACCATCTTGCTCTGCTACCCATTTATCCGGCCGGTGGTTCGGTACTATATCCTGTACGTGTAATTTGAGTATTTATTCACCTGTATGTCCAGTTCTAACCCTTCTTAGTATCGAAATATTGAGCACTACGACGGTACCGGTGGTAGGAGAAGCCCGAGCACGTCGTCAAATGGAAATTCTCGTCTTTTTACCCATGGCCTTCAACATGGGACTCTTCACTACCGTCCCCTGTGCCCCGGAGCTTCTGGTTGACATCGTCTTTGTGAACCACCTGCAGTCACAAGCCCAAGCCTACGAAGGAGCCGTGTTCGACACCAACCTCCAAAAGGCTTCTCTAGACTTGCTTCAAAGAATCCAGTCCTTCTCTGTTGGAGACTGGGTCACTGGCATTGACCTCAACGAGAAACTAAATAAAGATCCGAACAAGTCTTCGAAGCAACGTCAGTCAATCTCGTGGGACTGGCGGAGTGTTGCGTACATCTATCAGTCTGCCGTTGCGTTGTACTGTATTTCGTCACTGCTTTATCCTCAGTATACCCAGGATATGCCCCAGGCCCTTAACGAAGACGTTGACATCGCGGCCGTTCGATCGGCCTATCTAGCCACCCTACTCTGCAACCTCAAGGAGATCGCCTCAGGTTCAAACCTGCAGCTACGAAAGATGCTTATTTGGCCGTTAGTCATTGCAGGCATTGAAGTGGACGTGAACGATGAAGCGTCCAAGAAACTCATATGTGGTGAACTGGCTTGGATCAGCAAGGTGGTGGGGACGGCCTCGCCGCTGGTAGGTCATGACTTCTTGTCAAAGCTTTGGAAATCGGACTGGATTCCCACCGGATATGGAAGGAGAAGCTGGAATAACCTGTTTGACAGGCCCTATGTGTTTGTGATGTAATCGAGAATTTTAAATAGACAGACTGTTCTCAACCTCCCCTTGGACTTCAAAATAGGGCTCATGCCGTACAAATGAAAGTCAAGATTCATTCGATATTTCTCACAACTCTGTTCCTTCACCTCTTTATACACTCGCTATAACCTCATCCCAGTGTATACGGGGATCCGAGTCGTCACTACCAAAATTTGAGTCACTCCTCGCATCCCAATCTGCCCAGAACCCCCATTCTTCATCATTGTCAACTGTGAACCACTGGCCCCTTCTAGCCTCACACCTGACACCACGATGTCCCAGCCATGTCATTATCCGCCCAACTGGGCGTTCCATCGAAGGCCTGTTGTCAAGCCCCTTACTTACAACAATGCCGTAAAAGTACACATGTGTGAGCTCGGGGAACCATTCAACCCTATACACCCCGGCGGTTTCCAGCACTTCGGCTAGCTTAGAGCTTCCACCCCCGTCGTTGTTTGTGTGAAGGTCTCTCATACACTCTTCCTCGCCCCGGGCCTCAGCCTCACTATTCAGGATAGTCACTTTATGCTCCAGTACCAGTGTCTGAAGCGTCCAGTGTGAGGCCATGAGAATGCTCCTCCAATCTTCAGAGCTGTCCTCTTCAGCCTGCGTAGACCACCCTTCATCCTGAGCGTCGTCCGTGTGCTTTCTATGAGCAGGCGAACACAGATAGAGGTGATGCAGAATTGGCAGCGATAAGCCTTCCTCGGGCAAGAATCCACTCAAGGGACGAGGAAAAGCCTGAACGCGATTTAACCTTCCGTGATCCGGTTCTTCATCGGAGTCATCCAGATTCTCTTCCGATAAGGATGCGAAATCCCGGTCAGACTCCCCAGCATCGGATCCTTCGGCAGCCTGAATAGGTCGGTCCAGCATCCCGAGTTCTAGGCGCTCCAGCGTTGGACCGGAGCGAAGAATCCATCTAGCTCCAGCCTGGGGGATAAACCCAAGGAGCTTCGCAAAGCGGAGTTTAGCAAGCGGCGGGCTTCTGATTTCATAGGTGATCTGGTCAGACTCATCCCAGCGGCCGTGTAGCTCCAGAGCTTCCAGGTTGACAAAGTAGGGCAAAAGATCCCAGATCCTATCCTCGGGTTCGATGACACTACAGAAGCTTTTTACTCGGGTGGCGACCTTTTTGAGCCTATCTCGGTCGGTTTTCAAGAGATGCTGCAAGATATCTAGTGGGCAGATTCCGCGGCCGTAGTATCTACCAAGATAGAAACGATCGGATGAAGGCTTGAAAGGTGGCGGGTGTTTAATCTCGTCGCGGCTCTCGTGGAAGCCATCGCCGTGCAGCTCAATGTCGGCCCAAATTCGGGGTTCGATGAGGTCGTTGATGCGCCTGCATGTGCGACTGAAGTTGTTTTGTTGGCCAAGGGAGAGGTAAGAAGAGATCTCGACGATGATCTCGTTAGGAAGCGTTGCCGGAGAGTGCATTTTTAGGGACTAAGAGGGGAAATGCGTTGCTTGATTAAGATGAGTTCTGATGTCTTGCGCGTCTTTATAAAGCTGAGATGACCAATCCGGCTCTAGCAGGTTGCTTGTCCAATTAGCTGATTGCCGAGGCATTGACGTCATCGCGGATCTGCATCGTCAGCCCTATCCTTTGCGCCTTGATTGACGGTATCCACCCGTCGTCCCCTAGGAGGAATTTCGATAAACCTGCGCGATATATTGTACATGGTATTGATGAGCTGACAAATCTGCTCTTTCTTACAGTTGAAACCCGGCCCTTGAGAGATGACGAAGCCAGAAGAACATGCGATTTAAGTTCCTTCCGTACCTTCAGACTTGGGTAGTTTGTATAAGTTCAAGGAGATATATGAACGCCACAGCTTGCATGCGATTTGGGTCTCCTCGCCGTGCTCGTCTCTCTTTGATGTCTGGGCCCGTGTGCGTGCGAGTTTAGAGAGATCAACTTCATCACAATAAGAAGGCCGGATTTGGATGAAAGGGACGTGGGTTAATTCTGCTCACTGATGCCTCAATCAAGTCTGTCTCTCTTTGCCCCGAGACTGTTGGTGCCTGGAACAATTCTCCTGACAAACACTCAACAACTCTAATTATCAATACACAGCCACCACCAAACTGTAACTCCCCTTTCTTAACTATCCAACCCCAGAGCCCTGTGCCTTGATTCTCAAGTTCTCTCAATGATCTGATCCTGCGGTAGGTGGGTGATGAATTCCAGGCGACTTGCCGAAGGCAACCCCATTCTGTAAACCCCAACATGTGTTACGATTACGCCGAAAAAGCCGCCATTTGAATGGTGGCGGAGTACTAATTTAAGAACTTAATAGTCTAGTCACATTAAGTGTCGCTACTTTGCGTAAGTATACCATGATCGAAGTATGTCTGTCGAAAGCCCCTCAGCAGGACGCTTTTAAGTTGCCTCTGAAAACTATGTCCATGCAAAGTTTTCTTGCCAAAATAAACAGAAGAAAGGCTTATAAAAGGGTACGCCTAAGGCAGAAATTCTTTCTTCTCATTCTTCATCGTTTGACTTGAACAACACCATTCTTCTCATCCCCTTTATCTGATCCCCTCACCCACGATATTCATCGCCAACGCGAACAACTTACTCATCATGCCTATGACTCTTCAAATCCAAGAGCACGGCAATGGCTCTGATCTCCTACTAGCGACGCGCAGAGAAGAGTTCCGCCAGCTCGCACGCATCCAAAAGCAACTTGAAAGACGCTCCAAGATTATCATGTTCGATGATGAGCAGCTCCAGGTACTCAACATCGTGCGAGGCTCGCCATTCGACATAGATGAGGATGATCCTATTGACCCTGATCCCCGCTACTTTCTTCCGGGCCCGATCGAGGAAATGGAAGATTCATTGGAGCTACAGAGCGAGCGGGACGTATTCCCATGGCCAAAGGCCAAGCCGATTAAGAATCATCATTTCCAAGGTAGAGATGAATCCGCCCACAGTATCGCAACAGAGGAGGCTTGCTGGGATGCCATGGCTCGCAGTGGTTTCTGCGAGGAAGTTGCCCAGAATTCTTCTTCATGGACGCCTCACGAGTAAGATATTTCTTCCATCACTCTTTTGCACACGATAAGTAACACTTTTCTGTAGCTTTACTGGAATAGGACTCGTGTGCAAGAGGTCCTGGCGGTCTCCTGAGGATGGTCGCCCGCGCTGGCAGTTTTGGTTGAGTGGTGACTTTTACATGCGGCCCCGTCCAGGAAATTGTCCCCGTAAACGCGGTGTGTCTAATTATAACCCTGATGTACCTCATGCTGTTGGTACCGTCTGCGATATAACTCGTCCGAGGGACCAGGGTTTTCTCCACAGCGAGTTGCTCGCAGCCGTTTATCTCCTCAAAGCACAAATTGGCTCACCAAGCAGGTATCTTGGCCACCACGTGTGTCCTGTACGTCTCCATCATGTTACATCTTGATCGTGCTTCTGATTTGTCGTAGGTTCTCATTGTCAGCTTTCACGCCCGGTTCTCAGCTCGCATCATCCAAGCATACTTTCAGAATGGAAAAGTTGTCATTCGACCATCCCGCCTTATCAACTTGCATACTCGAACCGTTTCAACAGAGGTCAAGCTTGTTATTAGGTGGCTTAACAGCCGGCCAGTCGGCGACACACGCCTGCCAGTCCAGGCAGTCCCAGTCCTTGACCAAGTTGAAGACAACTTTGATTTGCCTGTTCAGGTGACGGATGCTTTGGGAGTTTCGCCGGAGGATACTTGTGAGAGGCAAGCAACAGAGGGGGTGGAGGTTGTCTCGTGTAGCTTACCCACGGTTACACTTTTCACTTGAACAGTAAAACTTCTACCGTGATTGGTCGGGTGCCATTCTTTAACCGGATAATAGTGAAAGGTTAAAGTTGGGACTTTCTAGGGCCAAGAGTTGGAGATGGACTTTATAACCTCAGCCTGAATGAGGTGATATTGATTAGCGGAGAGTTTGCACCAGACTAAGTAAATGCTCGTTTTGTAGCATAGCATAAAAGTTAAATGAAGGAGTAGAAGGGTTTGTTGGAATGACTCTTTACCTGGCATCTGTTTAGCTTATCATTGGTGTGGTTAAATAAAATCAAAAAGAAATACTATATAATCACCAAGGAACAAATAAAGCGACTGACATGACTCCGCCTGTCTCACCATCTTCGCTGCCTCATTTCTTCTGCTTTTCTCCTCCTATACTCTCGCAGGACCTCTCTTGCTCGCTCGGCCTCCGCAAAGATGTGACTTAGCCCATACTTTTCCGGGTCCTGACAGATCGGACAGTTGGCAACAAGACCATCATCCACACCCTCTTCAGGCTGATACTCCCTGGCATCAAAGTAACGGTCTCCATCATCATCATCATAATAGACATCGCCGTCATCGCTCATTTCTGCCTGGTAGCCAGCCAACTGCAAGGCGTTGACAAGCAACCGTACAAGCGGGAAACGAGCCAACTGTCTCCAGCTGTATTCTGAGCCATCATCTGAGTCGTATGATTCCCCGTAAAGGATACCAGTGTCGGACCAAGATGCCAAGAAATCAGGGACCCTGAGCTGTTCTGATCGCTCATATGCTTCTTGACATAAACGCAATGATTCCCTTTCTGGTTCTAGCCCCCAGCCGTAATCTTCCAGCTCTGGAACTCTAAGGTCATATGAGACTGCCCTAGCGACCTCTTGTGCCCTGGTAGTGGAGGAGATAAAATAAAAATATTGGCGTCCGTGTCGGCTGATGACAGATTTAAATGTTGCGTGTGGGTCTGAGCTGTGCCATAGGAGATGGCTCAGGACTCCTTCCAGTTTGAGAAAGTTGAGGGCATCCAACTTTCCCTTCGTACCGAGTCGTGTTACTGAACACCAGACAGTTTGCCATGCGCTTGATGATTCATAACCGTCGAGTATGGTGTTTGCGTCACGAGATAGCAACCAATGCATTACCTCAATATTTCCTTTTCTGATGGATGCATTGAGTGGCGTGTCGTGTGGTCTAGTGATTGGGGCAGGGTTGACTTGAGCGTCGAATTCAACTAGTAAAGAAGCCATGAAGACGTTGACTTTGGAGTGAGATAGTAGCGGGATCTTGTAATTGTTGGGGTCGAGTTTCACCTCTTCCAAGCCGAACAGCAGTTCTGCGATGTCCCCTGCTCTTATGGCTTCCTTCAGGAATTCGTTAGGGCATCCGCCGGGATTCCAATCCGAAAACCCGACCGAGCGCAAGATTTTTACCTGCTTGGAAAAATAGGAGGCATTAAGTAATGATACTGGGGACGATACAAAACCATCCAGCTGTGCTCCATGGGATATAAATAGGGGCAAAACCCGATCCGAATGAAATTGAAAGGCATGAAGAACAGCTGGGTAATGAAAACTAGGCGTATGAGCCATTAACATATACCGAATTCCTATATGTGGCTCCAAACTCACGTGCGTTCATTACCTTGAAAGAAGTTCGGGTTACAGCCTTGCTCTAATAAAAACTGGAGTAACTTGATCTTCATCCGCTCTGGAAAAAATAATTCTTGGAATGCTTGCTGGCCCAATTAGTTATACGTTGTTAAAACAACTATCGAGTTATTCAGGCGGCACTCACTTCAAGTAGACCATCCCCCTTTTGATCTACATCGTGAATACTTGCTTCTCCGGTCTCCAAGAGGTGCTTGACAGTTGGAAGGTCGAGGCCATGGCACGCTTTGAATATTGGCGCGTCATTTGGCCGAACATTGACGACCGAGATTATTCCAGACAAGGATGGCATGCTAAGCCAAGTCTGGGTGAAATGCTGGGCCCTAATCTCCAGACAAATTATTCGCTGGCCTAGGATGTTGACCCTTGTTTTGATTAAAGCTCGAGCTTTCCAAAGATTCTTCTTTGAGATCAGACTCAGAGATCCCTTGACGCGCTCCCGTGAATCATAAGCGTCTTGCGACTTGGCTTTGGTTTTGAATGACCAATCCTGCCTGGCAAGGGGTTCTTTCCATCTCCATTCTTCAGTTCTCTCTTTGACTTGTGCAATGATGTCGTCATCGGAAGAGATAGCACTTGCTGATGATTCAAAACATAATGGTTCTGTCGCCACATCCCTGGGTCCTCGAGACGGTGATGTTTGCGGTTGGCCTGAGCGGTATGTTGTCTTCAAACTCGAGAGTTCAAGGGTCATCTGCGTTTGGGTTTCCTATTGAGCATTGAAAATCAGTATGACAAGAGCCGCGTATTAATAGGATCGGTATTACCGTGATCCGGGCCTCAGCTCTCTCCTGCGAGTTCAGAAGTTTTGTCATCGTCTGGGTGAACATGAGAGAGTTCCTTTGTTGATCTTGACGTAGTCTCTCAACGAGCTTGCATGTTGTAGTAGAGGCTTCTACAATCTGGTGTTGCTATCAGCAGGGATGATAGGCGCGCACCGTCGCTTGAATCGGCTGACCTTTGTTCCCAACAAGCCAGACTGGGCCTGAAAACATGACCCTAGCTCCTGAACCGCACTGGTGATGTCGTCTCGAATGGCTACCTGGCCTAGTTGGACTGCGGAAATCGAGGCTCGGTTGAAAGATGCAAGACGTCTGGTATAGAGCTAAGTTAGCAGTAGTATGGAATAAACATTTACTAGGTACCACTTACACACTGAGGATACTCAGAACGGTGTCAAGAGCAGCCTCAGATTCTTTCACGTCTTTGAGGACTTTTTGAGCCTTTCTCTTATCGATGGCAGCCCAACGAAGCCTGTGTGTTGCTGATGATTGGCCCCCATCTCCGTGCAGCGTTCGGACTTTTTCCAGCGCCGCCAAGCTAACCCCAAGACAGCTGTAAAGCAAGCTGTTGTGGGCGTCGGGGATGAGATCACCTGCATCGGCGTTTGCCAGGTCTTTATCTAGCTCGTTCGCATGGTGGAGGAGGAGACCGAGTCGATCGATCTTGGCGCTTAACTCGGCGAGTTCTTTAGGAGCGTGGACGAAGGACTGGACTAGCTGACGAGCTTGGTCCCCGATGTCGACGGCGAGTTTGAGTAGTTGAGCGATGGCGGCCGTGGCGCCCACGATCTCGAGAGGTTCCATCAAGATTTTGCATGGAGTTGAAAGAGAAAAGATCGAAATCACAAACCAGGCTGTGGTCGGGCATGAAACACAACTTGGATCACGTGGGGGCGCAGCAAGGCGTCTGCATGATGCTGCCGATGAGTATGCCTTGTGTCACTTTGTCTGAATCTTTGTTTTAGATAGTTTATCTAAGGTAATTAAAGTAGAAACCATTATGTTCAAAGATAATATATGCGCCAACTAGATAAGTTTAGTAATTCGCTGAGATATTATATTTAAGCTCTAATTAAGCCTATACTCCTCTATTACCTAAACCTTTCTATCTTTATAACTAAAACCTTCTTCTTTCCTAATAGCTTAAGTTACTCCTATGACTTAATAACTTAAAAACCTTAATCCCCCTTAAGCCCTAGCAATATATCTTCTATAATTTATCCTCTATAGCTAGCTTCCTTACTTTATTTATATCCTTATACTAACTTTAATATCGCAATTAGCTCTAATAAGCTATTAACCTAGCCTATATTACTCCTTATAGCTGCGATAAAGGTATAATTCTCGAGCCTTAGGCCTATAAGGGTTTAGAGCTTATATAGCTCTAATAATTAATAGCGCTATATAAAGCGCCTAAGCGCCCTAGATACTCCTAAGCGCTTTAAAACTATAAGGAATACCTTAGTACTTAAGATAATTAACTTAATATAATTATTATCTTTAAGAAAGGCCTATTACTTATTAAGCCTAATTATTATATTAATATTATAAATTAATAATAGCTTTATATTTTCTTTAATATTACTTAATTTTAAGTCCTTAAGGGGAAAAAAAAGAAAATATTAATTTATATATATAATAGTAATATTATATAACTAATTAATAATTATTCTTATAAGTATTAGGTTTAAAGCTATAATATTAAGAGATTATAACTTAAAAAGATAAAGAGGTAAATAATTCTCTTATTTCTTATATAGAGGTTAAAGTAATTAAAATACCTATAAGAAGTTAGACTTTTATAATAATATAGCTAGGTATTAAGTTAGGGGAAAAATATACTAAGCTAATTTAGGCTACTAAGGTAATTTCTTATATATAAAAAAGAGAGGTAAAAGCTATAAAGCCTTACTTTTATTATTACTTTTACAAGCCTTAAGTAAAAGACTTTTAGGCTCTTTTATAAGTTATATCTTTATTATTATAAATTAATTAATTATTCTTATTATTTTATATTAAATTTATTTTATAAAAAAATATATAAGATTTCTCTTTTAAAAAAACCTTAAAAAGAATATATAGAAATTTCCTCTCTTAGGCTATATAATTTAATATATTTTATTTCTTTAATAAATCTAATATTTTTATATAAGATTTTTAATATTTTTATTTTTTTAAATTATTAATATATATTAAGAAAGATATATATTATTTAATTAAATAAGAAAATATATTTTTATATTATTAATTAATAAATTATAAATATAATTATTATTATTAAGTTATAAG